GGGTCTGTTCTGTGGAATCATGATCGAGCTCCAAGAATTGGACGAAATTGGTTTCGGGGGTGGGAGGGTGTGGGAGGGTGTGAAGAAATGATGTAGCCACACCCACACCCTTTTTGCGTTAACAGAGAAAACCTAAAAACACATCTAGAAATTGGTTAGAACTCCTTCTTTTGGTTTGCAATGTAGCATTTTTTGATGTGCATGTCAACCCAAGTATTATTTAGTAATCAAATTCAACAAAATGTCAGTTTCTCCATTGTTTTCAATAAAAACCGTCAACTATAGTCTATTTACATATATAAATAAATAATCAAATTATTTACTACGAATTTAAGACACTATTTTGTATTTCTCAAGGCTGTTATGTTCAAATGGAATTGATCTTAATTCTTTTTCTACATACATTGTCAAAAGGTGAGAAGCGACATAAAAATCAGTGTTTAGTGTCGATTGAAAAATCAAGAGTACTGTATCGGAAAGACATTATGAGATGATTATAGAGGCAAAATTTGATTCCATAGAAAGTATGCATAAAATCTTCAAGCACGTAGGACATAGATTTGTAAGCCATGATTACTCCCCTATCTTTAATCTGCATGTAGCAAAATGTTTGTCTATGAAAATGCCTACAGAAGAAGCATGGTTAAGTCATTTTTTCCTACCATTCTCTACGAACACTCTTCCGTTGATATCATATGTTTGTATTTCTTTTTCTTGCTTTTTTTATTTTTAGTATATGTTTCTTCTCCTATTAGCAATGTGGTGACTTAACTAGCACTCACATAACGTATGCCACGAAACAAAAATTGCTGGTAAACTTCCATCGGTTAATAACGAATTTTTATGGTTAATTGTCTAGTGAACGTTAATTCAAAAAAACTTTTATAGGCACCAAAAGTGAATTATTATCCAAAACATATCTTTTATATGGAAAAAATCAATTCAAATTAGTATCATGCAACATTTTGGTGATTATTTAATAGTAAAAAAGTTAACCGATACCGGTTAACAATTGAATTTCATGCATCTATCATTGTCTCTGCTTGTCGAACAATCGGTTCTATCGGACTGTCTATCACCAATGGTCTATCTTGAGTTTTCTAAATGGCAAACACTTCTAATTACTAGTGTATCAAGCAGTAGAAAAATATACGAAACAGTATCAAGCGTTTTTTGGAATTGTACAGTAAGATATTTCTTGTTCAGATAAAACTCGATGATGTCTGTATTGTAAATTCTGAAAACTGGAATTATTATGGAGTTATTCAAGTATTTAGACGCGTATCAGTTGTTCAAAACGTTTTTCAATTTGAATTCTCGCTTCAGTCAATTTTTAAAGATCATCATTTACGTTTGACATTCAATTCGAAGCATATATATGAGAATAAGTTTATCGCTTACTTAGGTATGATAAAATATCTAAAAGCGACTATTTTTCTAAAAGACAAACATATTCGAATGTTAATGTCAGTGTGCACACAAAACGACTTCACTTGCCTAAAACTATTGACACTCTGTCGAGTTCGTCTTCTAACTGGTAAGAAAATTTCGAAAATCAAATAAGATAACTGATTTGCTGGGTAAATATTTTTCTTGTTGTCGAGAAATCGACAGTTGTCAACTTCATCTCAAATTTGATATCATTGAGAAAATTGCATGTTCAAGCATTAGATGAGATCTATGATCTCGTACTAATGGTCATTTGCTGCAACGAAATATCCGAGCTCAAATCATTGAAATGTACAAGCTTCGATTATGACATCACTATTGTTTTCACTTGGTCTATACCATCGAACATCGAAAATTTAAGAGTCAACTGTAGTTTACTTCACCTAACCAATCTTCTCGCACAAACACTAAAATTAAAATATCTGAATGTCAAATCAATCAGTTATGAATTGGAACCATCGGTATTAATCGATTCATCATTGCCGATGATGATTGAATCTTATTCATTTGAAAATGAATATTTGTTTTGTATCGTATAATGATTTATGTAATATTGTGAAATCGATGCCAAATTTAAAAAGAATTGAATTATTTGGCGAATCTATCGGCGAGAATCTCAATAATGATCATCAATTGAAACAATTATTTGGACATTTAGCGAAAGTTCAATTGAAAAAAGTTATATGTCTAATGACTGCTTTGTCGACAGATGCAGTATTAGTGACGTTCAATGATGAGATCAATGAATTTTGGTCGAATGTCACATACAGAAATCGTGTTCATTTAATAGCAAACTGGTCGTGCAAGATAGATATCGAATTTGAATGAACTGAAAGCTGCTTTTCTTTTACTAGTGATTTTTATAAATCAACAAATGTTCAATAGTTATTCTGATATACTTAGAATATCTTCTTGCTGATATACATTATACTTCCTCCATTTTTAAAATAAGTTGTATCAGAGATGTTCGAAGACAACAGGTAAACTCGCGGTTAAAGTCATGCAGACAGTAAATTAAGTCAGAATAGTAACACAGAGAAAAACTTAAAAAGCAGATTTCCATGAAACGAAAACAACAGAAATATGTTGCCGTTCAGTTTACACTTCTTCACGAATATTCAACAATATTTAATAGTTTCAAAAGCTTGAGAGTGAAAGTGAGGATGTGAGTAAAAATGATGTGGATGTGAGTATCGATGTAAAGAAAAACAACATATATACCCATATTCATGCCGACAGACCTACATTCACACCTATATCTGTAAATTCTACCATCATTCAGCGTGAACATAAGCTTCTTCTAGCTTCCTATAAGATTTTTTGCGATAAATAAGTTTATAAAGTCGGCTTCTTTTGTCAACATGTTTTCTCCTTATACTTCTTTGACACCCGCTCAATTTGTTTGAGTGAAATTTCATGAAAGGAAACGATAATGATTTAAATATCGCTCTGTCCAAATGTGAGAAGTGTCGTAATGTAGATCTTCGATAGGTTCTCGTTTATAAAGCATCGTCTCCAAGAAAAGTTAATTAAATATTCCGGAAGCTCTTGATAGCCTTAATAATTACAGGTGCAAAAAAAAAACTCGAAAAAGATTCCAAAAGACTAGAGAAACTTCAGTTTACTTTCGAGAGATAGCATTACAAACTAACTGCTTCACACTGTTGCTATAATTTCTCGTAAAACACATTAAAACTTGTTTTCTTCACGACTGAAGTGAATCCTAAAGACCGATAAAACACACAAAACATTATCGAAATCGGTTGAGTGAACATCGACTTGTCGATATTTTGTTTGGTAGTATTCAACTATATATTAGCCGTGCTCATCTCATAGGTCCACCGGATGCAAATTTTCTCGGACACAAATCGACAAAGTGACAGTTTTTCAACTGAAACAATTTCACATTAGTACACTATTGAACCATATGTAGATCCATGAGCAATGTCTGGAATACTCTAAAGTTCAAGTGCTTCATGCGAAAGTACCGAATATTCAATAGCGACATAATGATGAATCATAATACAGAGAAGGAAAAACACACAAAAGATGAGAACGCGTATCTGACGCACAAAGAACAAAAAATACAGACTACAGAAAGGAAAAACACATGGAGGACGCTAACAGAGTAAAGAACATCACATACAATAAATAAGAGATGACAACATCTAAGATTCCCACTTCTAACAAATTTTCCTTGTGTTTTTCTAGTGGGTATACTTCCTTTCTGTTAGTCAATAGGGGAAAGTAACGAAACTCCCAGTTACTTATTTCGAGTAATATATATATGTCACATGATGGATTACTATCCATCAAACAAAACCTACAGCAGAATACAATCGTGCAACATTGATAGCGTAAGTAGACCGAACTTCTCGTTAAGCTGTATTGCGATGAGTATATTCAAGAGTAAAGACAAATACTATCTATCATAAATATAATACCACAAGGTACGAATATTTTTGTTGTTGATCAGTTGAACGAATTTCTTATTTCTTTATCAAATTTGTTCATCAGGTTTTCTGTAAGAATTCAAGTTTTCTAAACAAATAATTTAATTTTCTCACAGATGAATGTACAAAAGCTCCATCAGTGAGTATCAATATTTCGTTATACTAAATGCCGTTATTTGATGAACTCTTCTAATAAGTTTTATGTCAATTGTATTAGCTTTCTTAGTCTGACTGTCTTTGTGAACTACTCTATCTAATTTTCTCATCGATTTGAAATATTGTGTTTCCAACGAAGTTGAAGAATACAGATATTTGTTTCGGATCCTCCACCATAATTTTGTAACTTATTATTTTCAGGCTGTTTGAAAAGTAGTTCCCTATTTTAAATTCTTTATTACTCTCAAACAACAAAAAATATCGTAACGATTTTTTCAATGTTTCGAAGTATGTGCCATAGCATTTTATTATAGATGAAACAAACCGATCGATCATTTGATTGTCTAAGATCAAGCACAAATTTCATCTAGAGAATATTTGAAAATAACTCATTATTTTCAGCATTTTTTTAATGTTAAACGAGAACAGATACTATAAAAACTACAGAAGTATGTAAACAACAGATACAATGTTTAAGCATTGTTGAACTTATGTTATAGTAATGTCGAGATGTTAAGGAGCTCTTCTTCTTTATTTGAATGATGAATGAGATTTACAACACATGATTTGTGCTAACTGGGGGGAAACAACTTTTAATTATAGAATTAAGTCATCTTCAAATACGGATTAAAATACAACAACAATCAGAAGATGATCAATATTCTGCCTATATGGACGTTGGTTGCATTTATGACAGTAAATATTTTGACTCTCCAGGGTGTTCAGTGCAATGTGAATTGGAATGGAAACTGGGCATTTGCGTGTGATTTTCGGGGAAATGATATGCATAGCGTCCAAATTTCAGGAGAGCATTGCGGCGGAAAGTGCGCCGAAACTCATGGATGTACTCATTTTACATGGACTCGGTACAATGGTGGTACGTGCTGGCTGAAATCAGGCCATGTTTCGAAAAGTGATGCTTTCCCAACCGGTCGACATGATATGGTCTGTGGTGTAAGGGATCATCCACATTCACCCGTTTCTGGCACAGGTAATGTCCTTCATGGTGTTTTGGCAACGCGTCATGGCGCTCATGAAGCTGGTGCTTGTGCACTTCCAGTATCAAATTATGCTGTTATCAATCCAGTTGCTCTTGGAAGTATTGGATCTTTGCAACATCTGAAGTTTCGGCCAGATTTATGTGGTCACGTTTTGAAAGTTGATTGTGGTAATGGGCCATTGAATATTATTATTACAAACTCCAACTATGGAGGAGGTCTTGACTTATATGGTTCTACTTGGGGTAGGCTTACTAACAACAAACCACCTGGAGAAACCCATTGTAGTGTTCGATTCACTGATAGTAGCGCTTTCAACTTCCATGGACCTCGTTGCTTTTACAAGCCTGGAACAGATTATGGCAATGCCTATTACCATAATGTTGGGCTTTTGAATACAGGAGGACGAATTGTTACTGGAGCTACTATTGATAACCGAGCTGGAGAGCATCGCGGCGATAATCCTTATTATGCGTTCAACTTCGGTCCAATTGACAGTAATAAGCAAGTTGTCTTTACTTTTGATAAAGGACCTCCACACTCAGTTACTTTGCGAGATTGTGAATACAAAGGAAGTGAACAAATGTGGAGTTGAACATTTCATATAAAGATGGCGGATTGAAGAGCGGATGACTATCCAAAAAAATCATTGTACACCTTCTCCACTTGCATCTCTTCCTCCATCTGCCCTCTCTCTCTCCTTCGTTGCTCTTCATCCTGTTTTGTCTCATATAATAAAATACTTTGGTTTAAAATTACGTATATGTTCAATATATTATTGAAGCATAACGAGTTTGTCTCAGATTTATTGTTAATTTGTGGCTTATAATTACAGGAATGCACAGTCGTTGAACTGAATCTATCTAATATGATTCATCATTGTTTGACTGGCGCTTGATATATTTTCGTGGAAGAAATATACATATAGAGCGTTTTATAACATAAGTGAGCGAAAAGAAACTTTTAAGACGTCCTAGAAACTATCAGCAAAGTACAAACAAAATTCATTTTATTATCAAGAAAAATATAGTTTGATTTGATATCGGTGAATCGGTGTCGTGAAATTCTTTTTGTTTATCTAACTAAGAAGTCGATGTAATGTTCCTTTAGTTATGTCTATTTTCCCGATCGTGCAGTACAATATATACTTGCCAGTTGTCATAGTCAATTGAGAACTGGAAAACGGGTTTAAACTTTCTTGTCTCTTATGTTATCATGCAGTGCTTAAGACGTAAGAAAAATATTCGTGTGACTTTCTTTTATATTCGTCCAGTTCGTTTTAATGACAATAATACTTTTAAACTTGAAATTAATTTATGTGACTAAAAGAATGTGTATAGGGTGTGGATGTGTGTCTTCTCTTCACTCACACTCACACATCCACACCAACACCCACCCTGCTACAAATTCTCAGTGTTAATTCAACAAGTAATTATATTTAACTTTCAAAA